TGTAAAAAGCCAAAGTTGAAGCTGTTAAAGTATTCTGAAATGTATTTTTAAGCCTTCTTATCAGTGTTATAACAACCAATGTTGCCAGTTTCATCTTACAGATCAGTTCTGTGACAGCTTTGTGAAAAATTATGTAATCTACATCTGTAGTTCTTTATGAAGTGAGACGTTAAAGCTTTCCAGAATAGAACATTATTACGCTAATGTAACCTGTTTTGCCTGGTGCAGCCTAAAGTCCAAGCTGGTTCTGCGATTATTACACCAGCGAAAGTGTGTCATTACATTTCTATCTGGTTTCGAAAAGCTTAGCAAGTAAACTTGGCGCCAGAAAGATTTGTGTTTTGAGACAGAACCGATTATGAAATATCCGTATTTAGGTCTTCTATTGTATTCTTCAAGTAGTTTTTTCAGTAAAATTAATATGCTTTTTAGGCTGGTAACAAATAATCTAAAAAATGTGCTTTACTGAAACAATTTAATCAATAAAGCAAATTACTCCAGCAGAAAAAGCCGATTACAGAAGAAGCCAAAGTGAAATCTTTTAATTTTTTCTGAAATACATTACTAAGTTTTGTATCAGCATTACAATAATTGATGTTGCCAAACTCATTCTATATTTATAAGCCTGTGACAGTTCTGCTGCATCTAGTATAGATAAGAATTGTTTTTACTTTTCGCAAAACATTTCCTAAGCCTTTGTTTCTAACAAAACCATCATCGCCAGCTGCAAACTTGAAACCTATTTTCTAGCATTTTATAAGCATTGTCGTCGGTAGCAATAGCATAGGCAACTATAAGAGCAACGATAGCAGTAAAAGCATTTTATAGTTTTTTTTTTTAAATTTTGCAATAGTAAGTTTTTTTTTAGTAAAAAAAAACGTGTATTGAAAAGCTTTCATTGACAGTTTTGACGCTAATGATGATGGCGAGATGAATAAGCAAGAAGAAGATCAAGACGTATGGAAATTTGGTAGTTTACAATAGAAATCTCAAAGGTATATATTTATAAGTTTTAATGCACTGCTTTAGGAAACTACGCTGCTACTGTTGTTACAGTTGACTAGCTTCAGAAGTACTTTTAGCTTTTTGTTCTCAGTGTTTGCTCTAAGAATTATAACAACATTGTTGAAC